TCTCTTAATGTTTTCATTAGATGAGAAGTTCTTCATTTTAATGAAGTCCAACTCATCATTTTCCCCCATATAGTGTTTTTTATATTCTTTCAAGGAAATACATGTTACCTAATATTCTTGAAGATAGCTGTCTGCGTTGTCTTGTAGATATTTTTGTTTATTGTATCATCTTTCTCCTTTAGTTCTACAATACACTTTATATTTTTTGATTGTATTTTATGGCTTGCGTTCTTTGTAATACCTCTTCAAATATTGCTCTACTTCATTGTCTCCTTTCTTCATGGGATTATAACTCTTAGTACATCAGACATCTTCTTAACTTTTTCTCTGTATTTTCTTTCCATGCCTCAAGTTGAGCATTTTCTTCTGAGCTATATCCAATTCATTAATCCTCTGTGTCTAATCTTCTTTTTTTTTTTTTTTCAGTACACGGGCCTCTCACTGTTGTGGCCTCTCCCGTTGTGGAGCACAGGCTCCGGATGTGAAGGCTCAGCAGTCATGGCTCACGGGCCCAGCCGCTCCACAGCATGTGGGATCTTCCCAGACCGGGGCACGAACCCATGTCCCCTGCATCGGCAGACTCTCAACCATTGCGCCACCAGGGAAGCCCCTGTGTCTAATCTTCTTAATCCCAATTATCAAGTCTTTAATTCTTGTTATTTTATTGTTAATTCTATAATTAGCTTTTGATTTTTATTAACAGATACTAGCTAACTACTAAAATTCTTTAGCGTGAAATATATTTTTCATAAACTTATGAATCAAAGTTATTACAAAGTCCTTATAACTTTAACATCTAGATCACCTTCCTGAATCTCTATTTTTCATTTTCTTTTTTTTCCCTTTGTTTTATGTATATTGATCTTGTGTTGTGATAGCCTCGTAATATATGATTGAATCCTAATTATTGTGTAAAAATACAGTAGGGATAATTTTTATATCTGGATGATCTTATCTTTCCCATAGATATTTACTTTTGCAAATTTCAGGCTTATCTCTTGAATCCAGTATTGAAACTGAGCTACCTTAAAGCTGGGTTTCAGTTTTTTTAGGGCAGATCTATTTCAGATTTGACCTTGTACCTTGAGTGCAGACTTCCAGGATCTGATGTGTTAATCAGCCTTCTTATTTGGCCCTGAGCTTTAGCTTTGCCCTTCCCTGCACTGTAAGACTGCCAAAAGATCTACATAATTTCTCAGACTCATACACCAACCTCTAGTTGATTCTCAATCTCTAAGCTTTCCCCTGCTTAGGAATCAGCAGATACCAGGAAAGAAAAAATGGCACCAAGCCACAGTTTCAGCATTTTCCATTCTGTCTGAGATTTTCTCCCTTCAAATCTTGGTTGTCTTGATAATTTCTGATGCCTCCAAAGAGATTTAATGCGTTTTACCCAGCTTTTCTAGTTGTTCCTGTCAGTAGAGTGGGTTTGACACAAGCTAGTCCATCATAAGCAAAAGCAAAGTCCCAAATATAATGTATTTTTGATAGGCTTGTCATGGTCTGTTCTACAAGAATCTGAAGAAACATTAACTTTCCATTTTCACGATATCACAACTTTCTTTTCTAACTAAATAGCATCAATTATTTTTTACTTTTCCTCATAGGGCTTTTGTTCTAGCTAACATTGTCTTTGCCAGATATCTTCCTGATTTACTCCCATTTTGAAATGTAGGGCCCCATACTGACCACGAGCTTTTAGTGTATGCCTTACTAATACAGAAAATAACAGAATTTTAACTCCTTCTACTTATATTTGAGATTCCATTAATTGAAATGCCTTTCTGAATCCTTTCTGAGAGCTTTGGGCTACTTTTCTCTTTCTATTCTTCTCCCCCAGTATTTATTAGAAGATTTTTCATATTTTATTTTAAGTACTTTAATTACTTCTCTATCACTAGCATATATGGCTATCCAAGGTCATAGCTATGTTTTATTTATCCTTATTTATGGCACACAGTTGAAGTTAAAATTTTTACCGAATGAACAAATAATAGAAGTCCTTATAGTTCCATGTTTAACTTTCATTCCTCCAAAAAAGATATACAGAGTGCCAACAAATACATGAAAGAATGCTCAACATCATTAATCATTAGAGAAATGCAAGTCAAAACTACAATGAGATATCATCTCACACCAGTCAGAATGACCATCATCAAAAAATCTAGAAACAATAAATGCTGGAGAGGGTGTGGAGAAAAGGGAACCCTCTTGCACTGCTGGTGGGAATGTAAATTGATACAGCCACTGTGGAGAACAGTATGGAAGTTCCTTAAAAAACTACAAATAAAACTACCATATGACTCAGCAGTCCCACTACTGGGCATATACCCTGAGAAAACCATAATTCAAAAAGAGTCATGTACCAAAATATTCATTGCAGCTCTATTTACAATAGCCCAGAGATGGAAACAACTTAAGTGTCCATAATCGGATGAATGGATAAAGAAGATGTGGCACATATATACAATGGAATATTACTCAGCCATAAAAGAAACGAAATTGAGCTATTTGTAATGAGGTGGATAGACCTAGAGTCTGTCATACAGAGTGAAGTAAGTCAGAAAGAGAAAGACAAATACCATATGCTAACACATATATATGGAATTTAAGAAAAAAAAAATGTCATGAAGAACCTAGGGGTAAGACAGGAATAAAGACACAGACCTACTAGAGAATGGACTTGAGGATATGGGGAGGGGGAAGGGTAAGCTGTGACAAAGCGAGAGAGAGGCATGGACATATATACACTAACAAACGTAAGGTAGATAGCTAGTGGGAAGCAGCCGCATAGCACAGGGAGATCAGCTCCGTGCCTTGTGACCACCTGGAGGTGTGGGATAGGGAGGGTGGGAGGGAGGGAGATGCAAGAGGGAAGAGATATGGGAACATATGTATATGTATAACTGATTCACTTTGTTATAAAGCAGAAACTAACACACCATTGTAAAGCAATTATACTCCAATGAAGATGTAAAAAAAAAAATAACTTTCAATTTACTAACAATACAACTCTTATTCCTTCTATAGCTAAGCTCAGTCATTTCACAGGCAGGATTAGTCGAGATTAAATATATCTTCATTTCATTCACGCACATATTTAAAAGCTCATTGTAGAAAATTCTCACAAACATTGTGCTATTGCCAAAAGATGCTGATCTGTAACCAACTAGAAAAGTAGTTCTTAAAAATATATTAACAAACACAAAGTAAATAATAAGCCACCCACCAGAAGCTGATTTATTAAAGTTTTATTGACGGGAATTTATTGAAAATTTTTTAGCCTTCTCCTGACATTCATATCTTCTATTTTTTATTTTAAATATTTTTACTTACATTTCTTATGTAATATATATATATATATATATATATATATATATATATATATATATATCACTGTTTCCTAAATTCCCACCAAGTTATGTGTACTGAGACATTTCCTGTAAATTAGCTGAATTTTCCCATTAAAACAACCACAGCAGTAATGTGACAAATGCTATCTTAATGACATTAAAATACTATTTTCCCATAAATACTAAGATGAGTGGCCATGAAGTGAATAGAACTCTAAATAATATTGTTTAAACAGTATGCAATTTTCAGAAACAGATGGTTTCAATTGTATAGGGAAATATTTGACATAAAGTTTTTTTTTTTTTTTCTCTCTCCTTACTGCAACTGAATGAAATTTTATGAAGATTACCTCAACATTCATTAGTGCTTTGGGGCACAAATCCACTAGATTGTCCTTTACTTGTAGTTAGTGGTAACTTCAATACCTTAGATTTATCATACAAAAAATTTCAGGAAAAAATTTAAATAACTTGAACTGTTTTTTTCAGTTTAAATTGAAATACCCATATCCTTCATTTTGTCCATTTTGGCAAATTAGGAAATTACATTCATGTTTGTTTTTTTAAAAATATAATGACTGTTTTCTTACAACATACCAATTCCTCTGATATACCGTGTTATTTTATGTGTTCCTTTTAAATATTAAAACTAGGATGAAGTGACATCTGCAAAATATAAAAATAACAAAAGCAAATCAGTTAATACAGTATCAACATATCACTTCTGGCCAACCAATATGGCTAGGATTCTACACTCAAATGTTAGACAAAAGAGAAAAATGTGCCTAAAATGTACAAGTAATTTTATTAAGACATGCTTATGTTCTGATGTTTTGAATAACAATAATCTGCATGTTTTCTGTTCAAATATTTATTTTCCAAGTTCACTTGAATCTAGACCTCATTATGCTACAATTCCCAAGAAAAATATGAACTTTCATAATATACTAGGAGGTACTATGTTTTCATATTTGTGTTTCTTGCTACTTTAAATTCCTATACCTGTATTTTGAAATATTTAAGTTTTCATTCACCTGAAGGATTGTTTTACTTTTAACAACTAGTATCTTTTAATTTTAGGTATTTACCTTGGTGGATTTTACACTCTAATTTAATTATAACCCTTGAATTTTAATTGGTAAACCTAAACAGTTTAGCCACTGCTTGTATAAATGCTTATGTTATTACTATGTTTGTCAAATGGTCAGATTTCTTCTTTTTTTTTCTATTTTAATGAGCCTACCATGTGCACACTTGGAAATGAATAATATGTACTAGATATGTGTGGGTAGAAGGTCAGGAAAGGAGGAGTTCATAGATACATACTAATAATATCATACCTTAAGGTATAATACAATAACTATTAAAGAAACATTACTGATTACATCATTATGTATTTTTCTTTATATGTTTAGTATTTTTCAAAATGTACTGCTACTTCTTTATAACAAATGTAAACAAGTATTTTCTCATTATAAAAGTAATTTCTATAATGAGAAAATACTTGTAGTACTCGGTGATTTTGATCTAATTTTGCAAGCTGCTGGGAGTATATATTTTTTGAATGGAGAATCCATTTTTTGATAATAAAGCTGAGCTTCACAAGCAGCACCTCCCTAAATGAGTTACAGGTGTGGTTTTTCTCAGCCCTCAGGGGCCTGGGTGCCTGATGCTGCAGATCTGTTTCCTCCAGCAGCAAGCCACTTGTCAGATTCTCCAAGAGAGACAAAGTGGAGAGGGATCAGCTGAGTTCCCCGTAATACCTGCAGATGGCAAGCAATGTGAGCAACAACTGGCATTCATTGCTACACAAGGATCTGAGCACAACCCAGGAGTTGCCATCTCATGTGGATACCGACTTCACCTGCTTTGGAGTATGTAGCATTAGTTTTCTCTGTAGCAGTAGTTTTCTCCATGAGCACTAATGGAACTCCAAGAGCATATCAACTACTGGTCCTCAAACTCAGAGTTTCTGATTCAGTAAGTCTGGGCTGTGGCCCAAGAAATATGTAGTTTTAACAAGGAACCAGGTGATACTTATACTGCTGGCCTGAGGAGCACACTTTGAGAACTACTGCCTCATAGGATCTTTTGTGGCCATAGGTTACTTCTGAAGATTGCCTTAAAATGTCCTGTTTTACGTTCCTAAAATTTTATACACTGGTAAAATTGCAGGTATCACTATCAAAGAAGCAGTCTCAGAGCACAGAATTTTCAGATCCTGATGAAGATCATCTGTTGGGAAATTAGGTAATAAAAAAGGTGATATCCTTACTGGAATGGAAGAATTAACCCTATCCCTCTTTGCTGATGACTTAATTGTGTATATAGAAAATCCTTAGAAATTCACAATAAACTGTCAGAGTCAATAAATGAGTTCAGAAGGATACAAGATTTGTATATAAAAATCAACTATATTTCTATGCCCTAGAAATAAACAACCTGAAAATGAAATTAAGAAAATAAGTCCATGTATAATAGGGTCAAAAAGAATAAAATACTTAGGAATAAATTTAATAAAACAAGTGTTTGCCTTGTACACTGAAAACTACAAAGCCTCATTGAAATAAATTTAACGAAAGCCTAAATAAATGAAAAGACACCGTGTATTCATGGATTGGGACACCTATTATTGTTAAGATGGCAGTGCTCACCAAATTGATCTACAGGTTCGACATAACTGATCTACAGGTTCGACATAGCCCCTATCAAATCTCAGTTCTCTTTTTTTCTTGCAGAAATCAACAAACTGATCCTAAAATTAGTATGGAACTACAGGGAACATAGAATAGTCAAAAGCATCTCAGAAAAGAAGAGCTAAGTAGGAGGACTCACACATCTGGATTTCAAAACTTACTACACAAACTACAGTAGTCATGACTGTATAGTAGTAGCATAGGGATAAATTTTAAAGGAATTAAATATAATTAAGAATCCAGAAATAAACCTACATATTTATGGTTAATTGATTTTCAACAATAGTACTAAGACAATTTCAATAAATGGTGCTGGGAAAACTGGACATCTATAAGAAAAAGTATAAGTTTGGAACTCCCTACCTCCTACCATATGCAAAAAATAAGTTAAAAGTGCATCAAATACTGAAATGTAACAGCTAAATTTATAAAACTCTTAAAAGAAAACATAGATGTATATCTTCATGACCTTGCATTAGGCAATGGTTTCTACATGTGATACTTCAAAGAACATGAAGCCAAAGAGAGGATAGATAAAGTTGACTTCATAAAAAATTTTAAAGAAGACAAAACTTTTATGTGCTTAAAAGGCACTATTTAGAAACTAAGAAGACCACTCACAAAATGAGAGATATGTGATTTTCAAATCATACATATGATTGCAGTCTACTACCCAGGATATATGCAGAACTATTGCAATTCTACCAAAATAACCGAAATAAACCAGTTAAAAAGTGAGCAAATAATCTTGAATATCCATTCTCCAAATTAGGAGAAATGCTAATCAGAAAAATGTGATGTCACTTCCATCCACTAAGATGGCAAAATAAAAAGCACAGACAATAATAAGTGTTAATGAGAATGTGAAGAAATTGGAACCCTCATACATGGCTGATGGGAATGTAAAATGGTGCATTGGAAAATAGTTTGGCAGCTCTCAAAAAGTAAACCACTGAGCTTTCATATAGCTGAGTAATGATACTTCTAGGTATATACCCAGAAGAACTGAAAACATGTCCACACAAAAAGTTTTACATGAATGTTCCTAGCCCCAAAGTGGAAACAAATGTACATCAGCTGATGAATGACTAAAGAAACATGGCACATCCATACAAGGGACTTATTCAACCATAAAAAGTAATGAAGTATCAATTTATGCTACAACATGGTGAACCTCAAAAACATTATGCTAACTAAAAAAGCCAGACACAATAAGCTACATATTGTATGATTTCATTTGTATGATGTATCCAGAAAAGGCAAATCCATAGAGGCAGAAAGTAAATTAGTGCTGCCAAGGGTCTAGGTGGAGGTGGGAATGGGGACTGAATGCAATTAGGTACAGCATTTTTTTTCGGGGATGAAAATATTCCAGCATTAGACGATAATGATGGTTGCACAATTTTGTTAATGTACTAAAAAATACCAACCTCATCTCAAATAAAATCTGCTTTGGAATGAACACTCTCTCCTAGATTTTCTTTTTTTTGTTATTCAAATTCAAATTACAGTTTAAATGTTTTGATAACACTATAAGCACACCACAAACTGCTTCCTAATTTCAATTTAGATACATATTCTTTTCTCTGATATAAACTGCTTGATATTCTAATTTATTAAAAGCAACATAGTGATATGGGTAATCTAAGGTTGGTGTAAGAAAACATGAATAATAATATAACATCTATTATGACAAAATGATGTTCCTATACTTTTACACTGGTAAAATTGAGGGAAAATCCATACAATTCTGGGTTGTGCCTTATGTTAACAAAAATCAATAGCCATATCTGTAACTTCTAATAAAGTAATTATCCATTTTTCTACCTTTTTAGCAAGATAGACAGACCTTGGCTAAAATTCTGGCAATGACGCTTGCTTAATTGTACTGAGGCATCAATTTCTCGTTTGTTTAATTGTTGCCAGAAAATCTGTCTTATTGAAATTATATGAGGATTGCATTAGATATTATGAAAGTTGTCTGAGGGGTGCCTAGCATTTAATATGCCCTATCAAGTTCTAATTTGCTTGACTTCTTTCTTCTATCAGATCTCTTCATTTTCATGTCCCATTCACAGGCCCAGAAGTGAAAGTTTCTTAATCAATCTCTTCTAACTGAACCAGAGATAGACTCTTAATCTAATATAAACAAATTTATAGGTTTGGACAAACCAATTATCTTTTCTCAATAAGTAAATTCTGTCATAAACACTAGGGCCAACTTGTAGTATCCTGAATTACAAGATTATGTAAACTTGGATTTTGGGTTTCTTCATTAAGAGCCTGTGAGGGAAGCCAGCTGATAATGTAAGGGGGTTCAAACGTAGCAGTATGAGAGGCATTGTGTTATTCCCAACATACAAAGCTATCACCCTTGTTTTCTGATATTTCTGAACTCAGATTCAATTCTCACTATGTCCTTAGAACTTGCTATATTATTTTGTATGTCCTTATTAGGCATACATCTTTTTTACTCTAGCTGGCTTAAAGTGTATTCTAATCATTACAATCAAATGAATGTGTTATAAATTACTCCACTGCTTTTAAAATTCTGTTGTTTAGAGCAAATTTGTTTAGTTTTCAAGATATTAAATTGCATCATAGTTTTAAAATTAATATTGATTTTAAGTAGATTATAAGATTGGTTATTGATATCATGTAGTGTGTTTTGAAACTGACATTTTACCTTAAAAATTAGCAGATTCATCATAAAGTCCAATATTGAAGATAAAAGAGAATACAGAGATTACATAAACCATAGGAGGAAAAATTATTAAAACAAGTTTGTCCAATAGTTGAATGGGTTGTGCATGAAATACCATGGTCCCAAGTTTCATTACATATTAATATTTATAAATATATTATTTAGGATGCTTTTGATGTGAGTAAAAAAGACAGCTAATTAAAAGAATAAAACTATTTATTGTGTAAGAAGAAGCAAACTATTCAACTACGTCACAAAAGATTCTGGCTCTTTCTGTTTTTTCATTCAGCTATCCTCAATGTTTTGGCAGTAGTCCCTTTCATGCATCCAAGATTCTGCTTCAAGCTTTGTGATCCAACACAGCCTTGTCCAAAGCATAAAGGGTAGTTGCTCAACCTAGACTGTTTTTATATCCTGGAATCTAGATATTCCCAAAAGTCCCCTGGCACGTTTCCACTTCAGATGTGTTCTACTGTCCAAGCAGAATTATGAATACTTCCCTTTTATTCTCAAATGTGCTCCCATTCGGATGATAAATTATGACTACTTTAGTTTTGGTCACATGGGTATAACTTAGGAGCATCATATCCTGTAAAAAAGCAAATGTCTGATATTTTTAGCTTCTGTCATGGAAAGTGATTCTGCCAAGGGCTAAGGTAATGGCTTTGGGGTAGGCAACCAATAATATCTGCCACATGTGAAGTACTATACAATTTCTAATTTCTGACTATGAAGTTAGACATTGTACAGATTAGATTAAACAATTCACACTTATGGTTGTCTGTGAATGTGAAGTTAAAAAGAAGTCCCAGTGAGTCAATTTTATTATTAGGGAAAATCCAATATTGTCTTTTATATCAAAATATTGGTAAAGATAATACTAACAACTTCTCTACTTTTTGCTTATTTTTTATTTATTTTGATGATATTCTAAATATTTTGTTTGGTTTTCCTCTAGCATTAAACCCAATAACCAAGCAACTTATGCTTCAAACAGCTAAACCAACATTTGGCCATCTGTCAGATGTAAGTAAAATTTCAAATTATAACAAATATCGCTATTCAGGGTAATTAAATGTAAGCATTTATTATGTCTTAATGTTTAGTTGCCTTGCTACTAAAAATGACTTCATATCATCCACCCTAGAAAATAATGGAATAGGATATTTGTAAAAGTTCTTACAATGATCCAACCACCTACTTATGTGTTTTGATGTTACTTATGGAAATATTTTTATAATGTGGAGATTTATAACACTCTACAAAAGGTTTTACAGCCTATCTCAACAGAAGTATACCATGTAATCAGTCTTACAAAAATAAAAAAAAAGTTTCACCTATTTTTCTTCTAGGAGTTTTATAGTTTCAGATTTTATGTTTAAGTCTTTAATCCATTTTGAGTTGATTTTTGTATATGGTATAAGATAAAGGTCCAATTTCATTCTTTTGCATGCCTGCTATATGGACACGTAGATGAACTTT